TAATATTTTATTTGAATTCCACATTTCAACAACAGCTGAAAGTTAGGTTTGGAGTATGGGGCGTTATTGTTGTATAGCCTAGCTTCTAGGCCTACAGTATATCAATAATAATCTTATTGTTACAGGAATTGGTGTTGGCTCTGATGATATAGCACATCACCTTTATTTAGACAGTGCATTTTTTAGACATTTAGGCCTAGCCCTAGACAGTTTTTCATAGGACCAGGCCTATATTATTAGTAGGCCTAGGGGCCTAGGTCTATTATTATGGGGAAAAAAATGCACTAGCACAATTAATGTGACAAAGATGGCATGGCATGACAAGTCTAGGCTAGGCTATAGTAGTAGAAACCTACTATCTTTACCGTCAGCTGGATAAGGCTGCGTGCGAACTCACCTGTTGCGGGACTGGAGCAGTGTCCCGGACAGGAGTGCGCTATTGCTGCTGGGTAGACACTGACTGTGCTAATCCATGGAGTTATAATTATTTTGAGGTTAATCCTAGGCATAGGTGTAGGCCTAATTATAAACAAACAAGTCAAGTCATCGGACTGATATACGTTTATTAATTCAATTGAATTATTCCTCCATGATTGAATTGACGTTGACTAAACCGTCTCTCTGTAACCGCGTACGTAAACGATCACAAAAACTCTTGACTTCACACTAGTGTACTGTATCTAGGCTAGTCGCTCGATCGTCGGGACGATTTTTCGATCAGCTGCTCGCCAAAAATTAACAGACAGACTTGTTTTGAATATTAATGCCAAGCTACTGAAAAAAGTGATCAGCCTCGTTTTCACCTGATTTTCATGTCTCATCATATCATGTTTTGTTTCTGTAATTATCCTTACATCTCAACATTTTGAATTTTTGAAGTATTTTTCCCGAACTCAGGAAAGGTTAAATACGCAATATATGGCCACTTGTATCATCCCCGCACCCCCCCCCCCCTTTAAATAGTCCTCATATCCACATCATACACCGGATAGTTACCAAAATGTAATCACCTCATCCTTTGGTCATACCTTATAATCCCTGTAATTGGAAATTAAATCTGTGCAGTTGTTTTTCAGATATTTTGAACACAAGAAACCCTCAAGTTCACCCCGAATTTGGAACGATACCAACACTCAATAATTTCTTCATTGTAACTTTGTTAAACTTTCACGAAAGTTTCATTTATATCAGTTGATAAGTTTTTGATATATCTTGTCTAGGAGAAATCCCTTAAAATGGTCCTCACATCCACACCCTACTCTGGACCGTCACCAAAATTTAATCATTTCTTCGTTGGGTTATACCTAACACTCCCTGTTATTTTCAATAGAGGGATTTAGCAATGATTGCTTACAGGCGGTCAAGTGACCTAACTTGGATGTACATGAAAAACATTACTGTGCGATAGCATAGGAAAAGATAATGTTATGGTTGCAAAAACAACCACCCACTGTTAACGTCAGAAGCAAATGTCTAGGAAAGGCAATACGATTGTTCAAAATATTGTTTATTTACTTATCCTAGCGTTCATCTTGGATTGTATGCTTTGAAATTTAAGTGATCCTTCATAAACCTTAGCTGACCCTAACATCGATAGTTCACGGGTCGAAGACCATCATGTATAACTAACCATGCCATAGATGTGCAGGGGCATAGGCCTTATATTTGTCAAAAGATTTCAATGTTTGCGGCCAGTATCCTTAACAGCATTAGCAAAATATTAAGGCAAAATTCTGAAGTTTAATTTCCAATCGATTTGGTATAGCTTACTGGGAATTATGATGCTCTTTGCAGCAATAAACAAGGGACAGCCACGATAGAAATCTCCATGTAAAACACCGCTGTGTCAGTGTATTGTTTATGTCCAACACCCAAGTTAGGTCACGTGACGCCCATCGCTAAATTCCTCTATTATGTCTGTGCAGCCGTTTTTGAGATATTTCGAACACAAGAAAAAACAAAACAGAACAGCCAAATGTTACACACAGACACAAATTTACACGAACGAAAACGTATATCTTCTGGCGGAGATGATGATGATGATGATAATAATAATATTATTAATAATAATAACTAGACTTACTATGTCTGTTTGAACAACAGAACATAGGGCTTTTCCCCATTGCTTTAATAAGAAGTGAAGTTGAAATTGCAACAAAAAGAAAAGTCGTTAAAAGGTATGAAGTAAAAAAAAAATACGGTAAACCAATATAATTTTAATGAAGTGGAAAAGAATGAGGTGGGGAAAAAAACAAACCCAAATTCACTGAGACGTTATTAGTGAGACTTGAACTATGGCTGCAATGGTAATAGTAAGGTACATCGTGACCCACAACCATATGGACCGACCTTGAAGAGGAAAGTGAATTTTCAGTTCATAGCGATTCAATGACTGAAAGCAAAAATTATTCATGCATATCAGAGTAGTTTTGAGTTTAATCTAGCTGTAACTGGTTTAAACGCTTTAGAAAACGCAAATTGCGTTTGAATAATGTAATCAACTGTCAACAAAAAACATTTTAAATTTTCCTCATATCCACACCCTATTGTAGATCGTCACCAAAATTGGATCATTTCTTCATTTTACCATGAAAAACTATTCTGCAAAATGTCATTTTTATCTGGGACGTAAGCAATTTAAATGACCCTCACATTTATACTAACCTGGATCGTCCCCTACACATAACAATATATTCCTTGTAACTTGGGTTATACTTTATTCAGATTAGTTGACCCGTTTTTGAAATATCTGGGACGTTTTCATTTAAATGGTCGTCATATTCACACCTTACGCAGGATCATCACAAAAATTCAGTCATTTCTTTACTGAACCTTGACAAACTATTATAGAAAGTTACATTTACACCAATTGAAAACTTCTTATAGATATTTTCGTCTGGGATCTCAAAAATTTAATTGACCCGAAAATGTACACCATTGACTGATTCGTCGTTAACACATAATACTATCTCCGTTTTCGAAATATGTGGTCTGGGACGTTTTTCTTTTAATGGTCCTCAAATCTACACCCTACTCCGGATCGTCACAAATATTTATTCATTTCTTTACTCGACCTTGACAAACTGTTATGCAAGGTTTTACATCATACCAATTGATTTTTTAAAGAGATATTTAAGTCTGGGTCCTCAAAAATTGAATTGACCCTTCCATTTACACCCTTGACTGATTCGTCGCCAGCACATAATAATTTGTTCCTTGTAACTTGGAATGTTTCATTCAGATCAGTTGATCCGTTTCCGAAATATGTGGTCTGGGACGTTTTCCTTTAAATTGTCCTCGGATCCACACTATACTGCGGATCGTAATAAAAATTTGATCATTTTTTTACAAGACCTTTACAAAGTATTATAGAATGTTTCATTTAGACCCATTGGTTTTTTTAAAAGAGATATTTAAATCTGGGTCCTCCAAAATTGAAAAGACCCTCAAATTTACACCCTTCACTGGATCGTCACTAACACATAAAAATTTCTTCCTTGTAACTTGAAGAAACTTTCCCGTAAGTTCCATTCAGATCACCTGATTGGTTTTTGAAATATCCGGTGTAGACTGTTTGACCTAAATCACTTTAATTGGTCCTCACACGCACACTCCACCACAGATTGACACTAAATATTAGGAGACACATCTTCTTTGATATATGGCCTTTGCTTTGGCAAAGCACGGAAAAATGACCAAAGTGACGGTCAGAAAAAAAAACTGCAAAAAGATAGGAAAAATATATACAAGAAAAAGGAAAAAAGATCAGATCAAAAACAATGGGTTTTCCTAGTACTGCTGGGAAAAGCCAATAATAATAATAACTTTATTTGACATGAAGCTTTTAAAACAGCGCCACACTCTCTTGCAGTGCATTCGTAATCGTAACATAATGCAATACAATATTTAGCAAGACACTTAATACTGTACAATAAAAAAAATTACAAAATTGCACAAATGTTGAGCTTTTTCACAGTTCATCACCTAAAACCTCCGCTAAAAAGTTTAGTGAGGATTGTTAAAATATTAAAAAAACGATAGATTAAGAGTTAAAAGGGATAAAATGGGATAACAGGATAAGAACCAAATTTCAAAATATAAAACTATTTCAATGTCGTAAAATAAAATTAATATAAAATGTTCATGCTTAAAATTATTGCAAATAATAAATCTATGTAATTGATAAGATAGTATTACAAGTAATAAAAGAAAACAGTGTTTAATAAAGTTGCCTCTTTTTGTGTGGTAGGTTACGATTATTGTCAATGATTTATCTTATAGGTCATATATTAAAGAAACGTGTCTGCCGTCTTGTAAGTATAACCACGATGTGTTCAAGACCAATTGTACGAGAGTTTTGGAGTCCCATGGAATCTCTATGGATCGGACAGCAAGATCAATTTTACGCAAACTAAGAGATAAAATACAAACGTCTAGTAATGCACCAGCCAATCCATCATCATCAACGGAGAATTACAGGCCTAGTACATCTAGTTACAATAATGAAGAAGGCTTTTCCGATCTTGTCCTTTGCACATATTACAATACTAAGCGGGGTTGTAAGAGATCTAGTGATTGTAAATTTCTCCACATGTGTAGGTAAGGAAGAGAGTGAAAAGCAAAGCTACACTACCGATTAAATATCATAATGGGATATTATAATATTCTTCTGTAAAACCTAATTATTTTCAGTTCTTTTATTTATTGTCGAATGTTGTTACCAATCGCTCATTAGATTATAATAATATATATAATATATATAATACATTGGTACTATATATCATATACTTCAAAGTTAACATTTACCCTCGCCTCTTCGATGGGGAGGTGAAGGGTATTGCAATAGCGCGCGTCTATGTGTGTGTGTGTGTGTGTGTCTGTGTGTGGTGTGTCTCCGGGAGCTTGACTCATATACTGCTGGACCGATTCATTTCAAATGTTCACACATTGACAATGTTACATGTATCTCAGTCCTCAAATACAGTGCTGTGATCGGAAGTAAAATGCAGATTTTGTTATTTATATATTGTCCGGCCTCAACAGCCGACAGAGCCAAGTCCAGCGGATCGTGGCCTTGTTTGGTTAATCCGAGCGCAGTGGATCGACAGTGGACCAGAGTGGTGGAGTGAGTCAAATTGTGGCCAGTAGAATGGAAGCGATCCGGCCAGCATGTAAACTCGATTGATTGATGGGCTTGCCACCCAAGGCCTATGGAGAAGTGGTCCGGCAGGCGTGCAAATAAATGCCATTAATTTTTCAGTATAGATATTGCACAACTGGGCGACGGTTTGGTAATCTCAGATTATCTTGTTTATTTTATTTTTCAGGTCGTATATAAATAAAAAATGTCCGTCTTCTTGTAAATATAACCATGACGTGTTTACCCCTAACTGTAAGAAGGTTTTGAAAAATCACGGTATCTTTATGGAGCAGCCGGCGAAAGCAATTCTACGCGAATTGAAAGACAAGTTGGAAATGTCTAGTGCCACACCAGTCAGACTGCAACCATCAAGGCAAGAAAGTGTCTCATCCCGTCCTATGACAAAAGGAGAAATTTGTACTTACAACATTCGTGGTAAATGTAATTATGGTGAACGTTGTATACGGGAGCACTACGGGTTACCGTATCGGTGGTTATACAAGTTGAAGGATGACGAGGACGCTGTTTGGAATCCATTCACTGATGAGGAGCAGACACAACTGGAAGAACAATATTGTGATGTCTCCAAAGATAGTATTGAAGTTGTCAATGGGTGGGTTATTTTGATATAATAAATTAAAGTAGATGAGACATTATGACTTTATATAGTATCACTATTTGGATAAAACCGTATCTGGACAAGTGAACTTTCCGTTTTTTTTCCTTCAGTTTTTGTACTTATAATATAGGCCTGCAGTTTGGTTTATTAAAATGTTTTGTTTGTAATTATTTTTTAGTTTGCTTTGTTTTTAATTTGTTTTGTTTATTTGTTTATATATTGGTTTGCAGAAAGGATGTGTATCGTTGATGTATTTTTATATTAGGTAACTTTGATATTTCTAAAACAATGTTGATCTAAATGTTTATTTAAAAAAATAATTAAAAAAAAACCAATCTATAATACTCCAGTCATGTCACCTTATTTTTCACCATCAGTTGTTTGCGACCTTTATTATTAATTAATGAGTAAATGCTGAATATTTCCTGCTGGGAACAGATCAATAAATAAATATAAATAATAATATGTTGAAAACGTCAACATTCGTTTTTATTAATCAGTCAAATGTTGTAGGCCTTCATACTCAAAGTAGAACAAGTGCCGGATTTCAACCACAATTACCAATGCTGTACTATTATATATTAAGTGGTATAAAGAAATTCTATGGAATGTTTTATTCCCTTAAAACAGAGAACGATTCGCCGAGGATGATTCAAATAATTCGATTGCAGTGTTGCATTTTGGAAATATGGAAATATCAAACTGCGAAGTTGTTCGTAAATCAACAGCATCTAGTGTAACTGAACCGCCAAATCATCCTTTCACAACCGAATGGATGTGGTACTGGGAAGATAATGACCCTGCCGGTGGTGGTAAATTATGGAGACCATATGGACAGAAGGTACAGTATCTAAAGAAACAATGCTTCAACAAGTTCTTTCTACAGTCACCTACATATTTCTTCTCCATTTCCATTTCAAATTCGCTTCATTTATGTAAATTGGACAACCTGTGCTCACACAATACCCATGCTTTACACAGTCATAATGAAACTCAGTTGACAGGGCTGTTTGTTAGTGAAACAATTGGTATGCAATATTGTATTTTATTTTGTCAAATGAGTCTGCCTTTGGAATGTCATTTGAAGCCAGGCTCCATATGGTATTTGACGAAAACTCGGGAATGAAATACAGATTTTTGAATATTGTATTTTTTAATGGGCAAAAAAAGGCGTGACCACCCTTTTTACACCTTTCCCAGTTTTTAGATAGTGTATTTATTAATCTGTATATCATTAATCGTATCCGACTCCGAGTCATTTTTCATCAAACACACTTTCTGTGTCATAGACAATAAACAGTTGTACAACAATATAAACATTTTTAACCGCCGGAGCCTGACTTTAACAACATGGCAGTTTGTTGCCAGTCTGTTGAAGTTTAATAGATTCGCCATAATATTGTTATAAGTTTAGAGCATTTTTCAAAACAAACACTATTTTATGTTTTCAATATTATAAAGGCACATGAATTTATAAAGCACAACAGATCTCAGTTGCTGCAGGAATCATGGCCAAAATATAGGCTTAATCATAATTATTTTTTACAGAACTCAGACGGCAATGCCAAAGCTGATAAAGATAGCCACGAATTGGAAGAAAGTTATCAGCAGTTTATAGAGGATTCCAAACTGTCAACTGCTAACTTTAATACTGGGGCGAATAGCTATACCCTGGACTTCGGAACGATGCAGCAAAATAGTGAAACTTATACAACCATCAGAGAGGTCCGTCGTCGCCCCAAGGAAGTCGTCACGACCCTCTATATTTCAAACTACAAGAAAGAAATTCAGTTAAATCGGTAGGGTCTGAATTTTCTGTATTTTGCTATACCTGTGTCTTATAAGAGTTTTAGTAAATATCTGATCAGAATACAAATTTCTATTTAATACTATCGTAGCTGTAATGCCAAAATTTCAAATTCTCTCCCAACTGTAATATAACGGAAAAATAAATACCCACTTTGACCCAAGACCCCTGTTAGCGCCAATGTGTGCCCTTGTGCGGACAGGGGATGTGCCCCCCCCCCCACCTCTGAAGCTGGAAACCTTGTTTTTGCAAAATACATTGATGCAATTTGCTCTTATAGGCCTAATCAATAAATTCCTCATCAACCGATATAACCTTAAACATTCTTGGAATTGACATAACATAACTGATGTCGTACACTCCCTTCAGTGTGAAATGTGGCTCTCTTTGCAAGCACATCTAACATCTAAGGAAAGAAGAGCTTAGATTTGTACCAGATAAAACAATTTTGTTATCAACATTAATACCGTACATTATGCTAATTTTCATCTGTGTAAGCGCATAAGACAGTGCAAATTATTTCTGTGACAGTCTTTTGAAGTGTGTAAAGCTCCATTTTATCCTATACATTGGGGGAAATGATACAATGGACCATCCCCCCCCCCTTGTCAAATATTGGGGGGATATATCCCCCATCCCCCAGGATCTACGCCTATGACCACTTAAAGTAAGGTTTACCCTATTACCTGTAGGCTGAAACAATAGGTATGATGAATATTTAAATTGGTTCAATTACAGTAAATGTGTACAGTGTTCTATATATACTAACTTCACTTTTTTTGGAACTTATTAGGAATCTTTACATTTTAACATGTGACGATAAAAATCAAATCCCCATATTTCTATTTCTATAATACTTCCATTTCAACACCAATACATTGCACGCACTTTGTCAACTATAAAGAGTAAAACGTGCTAGAATGTTAAATCAGAACATGTAAGGAATTGGCAGTGTACAACTGATACAATGGAAGGCGTTCGAAAAATGAAGTGATTCTATTTTGGTGTCGATAGACATGTACCATTCAAAGCAAAGCATCGCAGATCGGATATCTAAAAAATTAATCGACTCGTCTGAGTGAAACTTTCGTGTTAGTGTAACTTTTTTTTAAAGTACGAGATTGGCGAGTTATTGTGCGTTTTTGAAGAAGAGTGGAGCGAGTTGAGTAACATAGAGCACAGCAACGCTATTTTTTTTTTATTTCTTATTGCTTAGAGCTAAAGGTGTTAGCATGCATACCAGTAGTAGCGATGGATCATCTACAACCTTTCCTGATACCTGGGAGAAGACAGACGGAAATAAGTTAGACCCGGATGCTACGTTTCAGCTGTTTGATGTTAAAAGTGGCAGTACAGAATACAATGACATACAGCGTTTATTCAGTGCTACGTGTCCAAACAAAATCCTGAAGATACAACGGGTGCAGAATGAAGAACTGTGGGAAGACTATGCCAGGTAGGCCTACGTGATGAGGTGTAAGGTGTAAAAAAGGGCGGTTACACCCCGGTTTCCCCCCCCCCCGTTTTTAAATATTCAAAAATCTGTATCTCATTTCCCGTTCCCCAGTTTTTCGTCAAACAACTATTTTCTGTCTTTAACATCACCATAAAATTGACAACACAATAATATTTATTCAAAAACAAACTAGGCCTACATTGGTAACTAACAATTTATAAGACTTCACCCGCAAATTATCAACATTAAGAAAACATAAATCATAGTAATAACCTGAAATATCCACTTCATCTCGTACATCATCTTGGAAATGATTCAGGTAGGAATCGAACCCACGACTTCCAGATAACAAGCCTGGTGTCTTACCCACTAGAACACCGAGTTTGCACTAGTGAAAAGTGTTGAATCCGATTCCCAAGTAGTAGTGTGTACTGCAATGCTATTCGATAGGATTTTGCAACAGGAATAGGAATGATGTTTTACCTGACGTGTTATCCTAATAATAATAATAATGATGATAATAATAATGATGATAATAATGATGATAATAATGATGATAATAATGATGATAATAATGATGATAATAATGATGATATTAAAGATGATAATAATAATGATAATAATAATAATGAATAATAATAATAATTATTATTGCACAAGTAACACTTCAACGCAAGTTTTTCTGTATTATTTTAGTTCTTTTTGTGTAAAAAAAAAAGTAATTGTAGCTCTGTGGTAATCGTGACAGGTTTTCTTACTGAGATGGTACTACAAGACCATTATTTATTTAAAGAAATGCCACTATTGGCTTACTGTATTGGAATTAGGCCTACTTTAAATATCTATTTAAATGGCAACCATAGAAATACTACCGGTAACACATGAAAATGAGATGTATTTATTGTGCTTATTAATATAGAAAACGAGAAAGAATGAAAAAGAAGACAAAAACCGTTGATGTTTCTGTAAATGAAAAACGACTTTGGCACGGGACAAGAGAGTACCACGTGAATGCTATCTGCCAACAGAACTTTGACTTCCGATGCAGTGGATCAAGCTCTGGTACAGCTTATGGACAAGGAAGCTATTTCGCCCGCGATGCGAGTTATTCGACAGGTTATGCGATAGCTGCAAGCTCCGGCCGGCGGTTTATGTTTCTTGCAAAGGTTTTAGTTGGTGATTATACCGTTGGAAACCCAACACACAGACGACCTCCAGAAAAGATCGTGGCGAGTGGACAAATAAAGATTCTGTATGATTCTTGTGTAAATCAATTTCTTAATCCAAGCATATTTGTTATTTTTGATAAGGATCAGATGTACCCGGAATATCTAATCGAATATTAATTCAACAATGTGCTTTATTACCGCCGAAGGCCGTTACCGTATGTAATAACTCGCTATCTGTCTCCTTAGCAGGATTACTCAACAAATATAGAGGAATGGATCATCATAACATTTAGTGAAAAGGTACATAATAAACCTAAGAAAGATAATTTTGGTAAGAAAAGTACAAGGTTAAGATCACTGATATTTGATTTTTATATAATAAATAATAAATAAAGCACAGGACGAAAAATAATGGAATTGCCAATCGTACACGGCTTGCGTATTGTTCAATTTTCAGGCACAGGGCACAGGTATGCACTCTAAGTAAATGAGTAACTACTCTAGTTGATAAATGTTATTAGGCCTACATGAAATGTAATGATCCTCGACAAATTTCTTTTAATTACTGCTGATATAAGAATAATTGAATCCAGACTGACGTGTTGAGGTAAATCAACATCTTTAAGTCATAACATGCTTTGTAGCACTAAATGAATAGGTGATAAAAACAAATTTTAAGAAATGATGGTGTAGAAGTATCAGGCAGCCCTTTCAATAAAAAAGTTCCTTAACAGTTATGTGAAAAAATGTCTCCGGCGGGATTCCAACCTGCTACAAGGCGAGCGTCAGGCCACGGTCACCTATCTGTATATTCATAGGTGTGTTGAAGTTTACTATAAAGTCGCAACATTTATTTCATTTTATTTATGACATTCGGTATACTTATGTCATGACATCCTATTGGCCTTTCTTTATAGTAGCTATCAAATCAATTATGCATTTATTTTCCATACAATACAGTAATACAGTAAATAAGAATGCAAATTAATAAAAATACATTGTATGGAAGGAGGCTACAGTAAGTTCTAGTAGAGCTTTAAGACGTAGCCACCTTTAACAAAACAGTTGGAAAAATGACCGGTACCAATGATTAGCTGTATTTAAACTAATATAATAACAAAATGATATACCAATAAAATTATAATAATAATTAATTATAATAATTCCAATCCAGTTTGAACACAAGAACACCAGACCAGACACATTATTTAAAGACTCAAATAGAAATGAGAGCAAGAAAAGAAAAAAAGATAATTAATTAATTACCGTACACCGAGACCACAGACTTTTTTAAAATGATATTTAAAACTATTCAATGTAAATTTATTTTTTAGGTCATCAGTAATATTAGCCCATAATTTAGGACCCCAAAATAGAACTGAAAAACGCCTGATAGTAGATGTGCACGGAGTACGAGAAGTATAATTGATGCTAGAAAATCTTGTATTATATTGATGATGTTCAGATGCTCTTGTATAAAGATTACTGATGTTGGGTGGTAAAGTATTATGCGATAAACGATACATAAAAGCAGCAGTTTGGATTTTATTTAAATCATATACATGTAAAACATTAAAGTGATAAAAAAAAAAGGTGTTTGGTGTGAGCTCTAAAAGAATCACCTGAGCAAATCCGAAGGGCTCGTTTTTGAAGAAGAAAAATGCAATCGACGTTAGTCGATTCAAAGCTGGACCAGGGACATAAAGTTTCAAACTTATTTAAAGTGATTCCCCATGCAATATTGCAATAAGAAATATAAGGTAGTACTAAAGTATTATATAAGGTTAAAAAAATTTTTGATGGAAAATAGTGCTTAAGCTTGTTTAGAATACCAATGTTACGTGCAATAATATTGGATACCTGGTTGACATGCGGTTTCCAAGAAAGTTTGGAATCAATGGTGACACCCAAAAATTTAGTCTCGTTTACACGAGTTATGTTATCATCAATAAATAAATTGTAATTAATATAATTATGCCGATTGAAAATAATGTAATAATAATAATAATAATAATAATAATAGTAATAATTACTTTTCTGTGTTCAATGACAGCTTATTAAGTTTGAATAATGTAGAGACCTTATTTAACTCGAACGTTCATGGTATTTAGTAGTAAATTTTTATTCTTATGAGAAAAAACAATATTCGTGTCATCGGCAAAGAGAACAAACTTAGATGATTAGAAGAATTGGGAAGATCATCGACATATATTAAAAACAGAAGTGGTCCAAGAATCGAGCCTTGAGGCACACCACAAGTTATTGACGCGAGACAGGAATCAACATTATTTACGGTAGTATACTGACAGCGATTGGTGAGGTGGCTTTTTATAAGTTGAAGTTGAAGGCCTCTGATACTACACACTTTGTGCTACACACATTTGCACAATTATTTTTTATATTACTGATATACAGTATTTTGACTATTATATTGATTAGACTACGTTATAGACTTACATCTTGTGTCATGTGTCCTATATTGTGGCCCAAATATTATATGTTGATATTATAAGCCATCCCTATGCAGTCAGCACACTGTGGGAATAGAATGTTTGTTTTCTCACTGCAAACTATTATAATGTGTATATCCGAATTATCGGTATCTATCTTGGGCATTAACTCCTCCCAATACATGGAGTTTAGGTGTGCCTACATTTTGCTAGTTTTTCTCATGTATCTTGATAAAGACCTAAGGATAGAGATCGAAATATTAGTTTACTCCAATAAAGTGTTTCTAAAGTCCATAATGGTATTCGTTTCTCATATTCTTTATTACCGTACTGAAACAAAGGTGGAACCACACAATGTTGTATGTATGTATATGTATGTATGTATATGTATGTATATATAAAACAGCTATGAGTTGTAGAAATATTAGAAGCAATATAATTTATTAATTCACAAATATTTCAAACACTCCTGTGTTCTTCCTCAGTGTGAGGACAACTGACATAAATTACAAAGTAAAGCAATATTTGAATCCAATAATTTAAAATAGAGCTGGGCCCAAAGAGGGACTTTTGCAGATGAAGAGTGTAGACCACCTTAGCTCCACCATGGTTGGGGCACTCTCACACCTAAATTCTAATTATAATTTTCCTTTGTTTTTTACATTTTAAAAAAATAATTTTGTAAAATTTAGGATCGGCTCGGTCCCATTTGAATCCGCCACTGATTATTATGACGTCATTGCGATATTGCGTCAACGTAACACTGGGGTTTGTAAAATTTTGGTATCACTAAATCGAAATAAATAGACATGTCCGTGTCAAAGGCTGTATAATTATTATTTAATAATGGCTATATTCAATTAACTATATTTTTTTTTTGGAAATTAGGAAAAACAGTAATCCTATGTATGTAGATAATTTTAAACACTAGTATATACGTACGGGTCATAATAATATACAAAAGGAATAAATCGTTTATAGTAGAAACTGCACTTTTGAGTAAAAATATTGGCCTAATAAGCATACACGCTTCCAATTTTGCAGCTAGGGTATAGACCCAAACGAAACGTTTGACCAGCTTAGGTAGGGCCCAATTTAGTCCCACGACCACTAATGATTACAGAGCCAAACCAAACCAAACCAAGGCAATATATATACACAGCCCAGGTGTGAATGCAAATAGTGGAATACAAGCTATGTGGCTCGTTTCCAGTAGATACAGAGAATATTTTGTCATTCTTAACGCGTCCTACGAAATTCTTACGAGACAGCACTAGTCCGTGAATCTGTGAACAAGATCGGAGATCTAAAGATGCAATCTCTACCGTGCATCAATGGCGGCCCTCTGGATCTCAATAGAGATTCTTTAATAATATATAAATTTAAGAAGGCAAATGGAAAAATATTTGCATTTGAATTTCGTAGGACGCCTTTCCACCTCGTGTAATTTATTGGTGGAAAGTAATAATTTCCACTTTGTTTCCATACAATACAAACTGTTGCTGTAGCCAAATGACTGCGACACGTGTGAGAGCGACTACGATCAGACCATGGAGGAAATATTTCCTCCATGATCAGACTGGCAACTAGTACTGACCACAATAAATTTTTCAACATGTTGAAAACTCCGCGGCCATCAACGACTCTCTCCTCTGTCACGAGCAACCCACCTATGGGCTGCTGCAAGCAAACAACATAGTGAATAAATCTATGCTTTATTTTTAAAAATTAAAATCCGTAAGCCTGCTTATTATTAGGCAATTATTCGAGGATTGTTTTACATTAGGCATTTTACTACCGTAACTCGCTAGAACCGTCAGTTTCCAACTAACTTTAATTTAGCGTCGATTGAAATTAAATGGTAGTGCCAGTTGCGGTTGCAGGTTGCAGAGAGAACCAAAGACAATATTTAGGAGAAAAAAAAAACTTAAAATATGATGCTGTAAGACGGGCCTAAAAGCATTCAAAATCTCGAATCGTCAGATTTCGGGGGCTTGGCGCCCCCCCCCCCCCCGACCTCTTCAGAGGTTCTGGGACATCGCCATTTCCCTGCCGTCGGGCAGGTCTTGGCGTAACTTTTGTGATAATATTACACAAGCAAGATATAGATCATCAATAAACAAGAATTAGTAAAAAGTAAGTATCTTTCCTCATTTGGCATTTCTGGGGAATGCAGTTTGGCGCACATCGATCTATTCTGTACCACCTCAGCTCTGGTCATGTGTTCGGAAGCACTCGTTGACAATCTAGCCGGCCATGCTTATGGCAACACATCTTTACAATTTTACAAACTACAAACCCTATTTTTATAAATTTTGATTCGGATGTCGTGAAATAAGCTTTCTCGACTTTAAGGTGTATTTTAATGACTTTAAGTTCTTCCTCCTCTTGAAAACGATTCCATAATTGATGAACCCCAAAGAGAAAGGGATCCGGGTTCTATCTGGGAAAGTTTTGGTTTTGATTCCTAAATGGCGGGAAATGTGCTTTCCCCGACTTCCGAGGTGTTTTTCAAAATTCAAGGTTTCCCCTCTTGAAAAACGGTCGGGTAAACTTTCTTATTCTTATTACAGTAAATAGGCCCCTAGGCATATTATGTGCGTAGGCATAGGGGCCTATATATACTAGCCTACATAAACAAAATTGAGTAGTTGTATTTATGTATTCCTTTTTCCATGAATCGGTGAAACCCAAAGAGAACGGGTTGGGGGGTGTCGGGTTCTCCCCTGGGAAAATTTTGATTCCTAAATGGCGGGAAATGAGTTTTCCCGACTCTGAGGTGTCTTTTAATAACTTTTAAGTTCTTCAAAATCCGGGTTTTCCCCTCTTGAAATCTATTCCAAATCAATCCCAAAGAGAAAGGGAATCTGGGTTATCCACGGGAAAATGTTGATTCCTAGATGGCGGGAAATGATTGAGCTTTACCTGACTTCTGAAATGTCTTTCAAAATTCAAGGTTTTCCCCTTTTGAAAACGGTGAGGTAAATTTTTCTCATTCTTATTACAGTAAATAGAAGAAAGGGGTTCGGACGGAGTCCTTCCCTGGAAAAATTTTGATTCCTAGATGGCGGGAAATGAGCCCAACTAGAAATTGTCAAATATACAAATTTGTTGGGCTTGTTATCAAAATGTTCACAATTATAATGATTACTATTATGCTATTAGTACCATAAGAGCATGTGTGTAAAAGTTACTATAGTAATTACAGAGTAGCCACAATAAGTTTCACAACCAAGCATAATTTATTAAAGCTCAAATAGTTTCATCTGGTTTCTGGATGTATGAACATGGTAAATTCTTGGAAGTAAACCAGTGGTATATCGTACTGTTTGTGATGTTTCGATCCGTTATCAACCATATATTTCCCGACTTCTAATTTTCAAATTCTAACAAATTCTAATTCAGCTCACGGGTCCTGAAAAGGTAGGTCTAAAATTGTTATATTTTTTTTAAAAACATTTTTCCCGGGCCCCTCAGATCCTCGAATATCATTAATAAATAAACAGTGGATGAATCATAAATTGGTAAGTCACGTTTACGACTTGCGCCCTCTATTATATCAATTTTGTTTATTTACTAATGAAAAACACAATCAACCATCGGGATGATACGATGATACACACACCATTCAGATATTGAAAAAGAAGATGGATCAGAAAGATGTCGCTTATTTACTACAATTCAGGTAAGAAGAGCTCAATATTAGGTATTAGTAAAGATGGTAGACTTCTTATAAAAGATTCAATTGGTAAATTAGCTGTAGATTATTTAGTTAAATGCGTTTATGCGTCGAACATCAGTGCACGATCTGAAGACAGAATTCCAATCTGCTTGGCTCCTTCAAACTAGCTGGAGGGCCTAGGCTAGACTAGGCCTGCCTGGGTAGGCAGACCAAGGGTTACACTATAGGCCTAGGCTATCAGTAAGCCTAGCGGAGAAAGCTATACTTAACCCACTCATGCTTGGCGCTACCTACAGAACGATGTGACTATAGGTGTACAGATGCATGAAATAACAGTGACTCAACTAGACTAGGCCTACTAGGCCGGGGCTAACTACAACCTACCCTACCTACTAACTAGGCCTAGGCCCTTTGGTAGCCTCCTCTAGGCCTGGCCTTAGGCCTAGTAGGGCTTAGTTCTAGCTAGGTATTCACTAGGCCCCTTGGGCTCTACTACAGGCCTAAGCCTACTGTAAGCTAGACCTAGGCCTCTTCTACTAGGGTAGGGCCCTAACTAGAGCCTTATTTAGCTTGACAGACCTAAATTCCAGCATGCAGATGAATGACCAAGAGGCCTAGCATAATGTCATAGGCTAAACTAAAGCTCTAGAGACCTAGGCTAGGCCTAGCCTAGGCACAAGTTGCCTAAGTTTACTGTTGACTGTGGCTGCAGTAGGTCCAATAGAGGCTAACTCGTACCCATGCCAACTCATACCCACAACTCGTACCCATACTGTAACTGGCTAGCCTGTACCCAAGTTAAGTTTATTCTTTACCTTAGTATTTCTTAAAACATTATGCAAAAAGTAGTATCTATTTTGATATAATCATGTTCAACTATGTATTGTAAACTTCTTTTTACGAAGCATACCGACTGATGCCAGTGTCAGTAGCAGTTTTCAACACAACAATTTTTTTTTTTTAGGAAACAAAGAACACTTATATTTCGTGGCGCTATATACAAATTTTATTTGTCTTTTGTTTCACGCATCAGACGCCAACAGAGTTGGCAGGTATATAGGTTAGAATCATTCAGGAACGGACAGAGGCATTGGCTACAGTGTATTATTCCAACTTCATGTACACACTGTAAAGTGTTTTGTTTGCGCAGAGGATGTTTCTAAAACAGACTCAAATTTGCATGCAAAATCACTATATAAATAGGTGCGCAGAGTCATAACTACAATGCATTAGTTGTGTATTGTGATATAGGCCAAGTCCTCATTTTTTGCTCTTATTTTCCAAAATGAGCGGATGGAATTCTAGGTTTACTGTCTTAATTATGTGACTTCAAAAATGTCATTGAAAAAAAAATTGATTTAGTATATTTTTGTGAGATTTTATAGGAATTTTTAAGTTTGATCAACTACAGTAAGAGATAAAAAAATGCTTGTTTAACTAGTGATATGGATAAATTCAATCTGTTATAAATCTTTTACAACAGACAAGGAGAGCCAACCTAATGTTGTGCTACCCAAAAAACTGGAGAATCTGCCAAAATCTCTGGAGTGGCCCAAAGTAAGACATCGATGGAATACTAATGAAGTGAGTACGGTAGCTCATTGTGTTTTTATTGTTGTGTGTGTTTGTTTCCACTGTTTTCATAGAAAAAGGGACAATTTATTAATTATTTTTTACATTGATGAAGGAATTTAAAAGTTTTGAATTCGATTGCTGAAATTTTCAAGATGGAATTCAGACTCGCGCCAATCCAACTCCACTCCTTGTGAGCGCCAGACAACGCAACCTCGTCTGCTGATTGTCGGTGGCTGTCTGAGTGGATCGTCATTAACCACGATTCGTTACGCATGTGTTGTTGCGTCGCGTTCGCCATAGTATCGGGGCACAGTGAGTGCACGGCTTTAATTTAACCACGCTTAATGTCTGAATGTTGTGCTTTTTACGTCTTGAAATTAGAAAAAGTTGACTGTATTTAACAGAGGTACGTCAGCCTTTGCATTTGCGAATTCAAAAATTGAATTGATTCACAGTTAGAACGCACATAGTGCCAGTCATTCACAGTTAGAACGCACATAGTGCCAGTCATAAATTTGTTCTACGTCCTCATTCTCATTCACTTGAATTGGACGCTCTCTAGTATTCCCCAGTAAGGCTAATATTGCAATGCAAAAATAAGAGAACAAGCCTGCAAATGACAGTAAAATCAATATTTGCTTTACAGTACATTGGTTTATATTTTTTCTTTAATTAACATGTTAAAACAATGCCTACTACCATACACGATTTGTTTTAATTGTACATAATAAATGAAAATATTCAACAATTTTATTTGCATAAGTTATTCATGTGAGGTGGCAAAAGATGCTTTGGTGGGTTAAGGTTTTCCAATGCCTATTCTCTAATTAATTGTAATTGCATACTCTAATTAATTGTAACCCACCCTAAAAATTAAACAAAGGAATAAGACCCAGTGTTTTTATTAGAAGGTATGGAGTACCTGTAATTTGTAACTGGGCTTGTTCTAGTTGTCAAAAGAATTCTTGTGGATAGATGAGAAATTAGATAAAAATTGTTTGTTCTTCCTTGTGAGGCATTTTAATGAAAGTGCAGGTGATTTTTTTCCTTTATTAAAGGTCACTGAAAATAATATCCTGATCTAAATCCAAATGTGTTTTGAACAGTGCAACCTTGAATCTGGTGGTTTGAATAATAAATTTTATATGTTAGACCTAAACAAGTTGGATACTAATTAGTTATTTTCAAATTTAAAAGAAAAAGCCCTGCATCTGATTAGGTTTTCTTAAACAATTGTTTTACATTAAATTTATTTTGTTAAGAAAAAAACTGAACACCATTCATATTTTTAGGGATTTATGGGGGTAGATTAGAACAAACAATTTTCCTTCTTTACTGGAAGACCTGTGTTTAGATGTTGGTTAAAAATATGGAAAGCATGTCTGCCACAATTTTCATTGTTTAAATACAACCCATGTTTTACCCTTCAGGAAATTGCTTCGTTATTAACCACTTTTGACCAACACAATGCCTGGCAAACAACAATTACAAAAACAAGGTAATTATGATTTTTATTACTTGACATCAATCTAGTTTTTAAAAATGTTATATCTTCTTCTTAGAATATGATAGGTACAACATTTTGAAGTGGGGCACCTCAGTTTTATAGTATAATTACCATACGGTATTAAATATTAATTACAAAAAAAAAGTGTTTGTGCCTCCAACCATTATAATTGTAGCCCAGCAGTTTATTTTTTTGAATTTTTTCCCCCAAAATGCCTTGGGGACATTCATGATGTCTGACCGCCGGTTGCATGGTCGCGCTCTGTTTCCCCCCCCCCCCTTATTACCTCTGCCAAGGTATGCACGCGTGACTGCTTAGTTTAAACTGGTCTATCCTATTGTTTAAAGAAGCATTTGCTATACGTAGACTACACCCTTTGCTTAACAATGGGCTCAGAGCTTCAAAAGAGCTTTCTTTGTTTTTGTAGGGATCTTTGATCATTAGAGTAAGAATGCTTTGATCTTTTGTTTAAATCACTGCTATGTCACCTACTAGAGGTAATGTTTTGATTGGTTAAACACTTTTGGTACTAGTGCATACATAAGCTTGCTATTATATGGATAATTTTTTCATTCCTGATGATGACATATTATAATGTCGAAATATTGAATCCCAACACGATGGCGTGTATTTCAATACTTGGAGTATGTATTATACTTTCTTAAACAGAAGTGTTCTATAATTTGATGCACTACAGACTTAGTATTTGAATGTTGCGTAGGTAACAAGGTTGTTACTATTTTTTTTATTTAATAATATTTGGTGCAGTTAAATTTATGTGGAAATTATGATATTTTTCATTTAAAAAAAATTATTTTGCCTACATTTATTTATCGGTATTAAAGAATTACTTAAAAAGGCTTAGTTGTTAATATTTCCAATCAACATGTTTGTAGGCTCTACAGTAGAATACAGCGGGGCAAAGTGTGGCCCGCAGGCTCCATGTGGCCCCAACAGCGACTTTTTTGCAGCCCGCCAACCAGCATTGGCTAGAAACACCTTGTTTTTTATGCCCCGACACCGAACATATGTCAAAAGCAACATTAAAACTGAGAATAAAGTGGTGTAAAAGCAGTGCTTGAAGGTTTTTGGAAGCACACTGGAAACATCAAAGTTTGGGTGCGGCCCTCGGTGTTAAATCAAAAATTCACTTTGGCCCTCCGACCGATTTCTGAGCTAGAGGAACAGGTTAAATTCACATCCAGCTTTTTTGCTTGGTACGTTATCAAGATTCTTGCTGCAATTTTAAGTTAGTATAGTTTGTGTACTTTAATTATGTGCTACATACTGTATATAGATTTTCTAAATTTATGAACAGTGCATACATTAAAAGTTTTTATAAACTCACTGGAAGTATTTTATTGTTGTAATTATAACCATCCAGTTTAAAATCAGGGTACATATTTTTAACTTCAATAATTTCGATGCTCAAGTTAATAATTTGTATGTTCTACAATGTGAGCAAGTTAACTTCAAAGTGAGCAATTAGTTTTTACGATTTTTTGTCATTTTAGAGTGACAATAGGCCTAACATCTTTAATTGTCGCAAAATGTGTAAAAATAGCATAAATAATTGGTAAAATTTTCAAGAATATGATATATAATTAGTAGGCTGACTATGAATGCAAGGAATAAAAGCTGTCGACTAACTGGCATCTTCTCTAACTAGCATTCACTTGAAGTAGCATCCACTTGTACTGACAAGCTGTCGACTCACTGTATCCTCTAATGGAGTGTGATACCAGACATGTTGGGCTGATGTGCCACAATTGTAGCAATAAGTAGGATCTAGGATGAATTTAACCAGATAACTGTATCTCTCTATGTATCTTGTCAGCGGTGCCGCCACAAATTTGCCAAAGGAAAACCCCCCCCCCCCCGTTTGAGCTACTCTGTATTACCAGTACCAGCCAGTCTTGTCTGTCAACAGTGGTGGTATGGACCACTACATCTGAATAACCCCTACTTGCCTTGAAAGATGTACTAGGTGCTTTTAAGTGCACATGAACCAAAATTATGTGCCTACAATTCTTATCTGAGAGTATGCATGCCTGTTGTAATTTAAGTTCGTTTGATCGCGATTCTTTTATCAATCATTCTGAACTGTATAGTAGATAGGAGGATGTGCCTATGTAGTTTGTAAAAGTGCTACATTACATTTTTTTGTAAATGCCTTGATAGTATTTTTTTTTTTTTACACTAATCAGTATAAAATCCATCCAACATAATCAATCAATCAATGGATATAATACTGTATATTAAAATTCTGTACTGTATCATGAAAATATTTCACCTTTATAGTGATCAATTATTGTAATAAATAGAAATGTATGTTTAATTTATTCATACTGAATGACATGTCAATGTTACAGAGCTCCATTTAATACTAGCCCAACGTACAGTGTTTAGCAAAAACCACACTGGACTAGTCTACAGACCATTTAACTCCAAAATGTTGCCCGGTAGTCTAGTGAAAAATTAACGAGTTATTTCTCCATACATACATGCACAAGCCTAAGTAAATATAGTGGGTCCTAGTAAAATAGTCTGTGGTCAAGTAAAAATCTCTAGTAAATTAGCCCAGTGGGCTAGTTACCAAAAAACGTTGCAGCAAGGCCTGTGGTATGGTCAAAAACACATTGCATTATTATTATTAAATATTATTAAACAAGAAAAAATGATGCTCATCTTGATCTTCTGATTCAGTTGCTCTGGACAGTCCACATCAGGAGAATTGTATCTTGAATGATTGTGTGTATTTAATTTGTAATAAAAGTGTAAATCTACTTTACATTCATTTAATTAATGTGATTATTATTTAAATATTGTATAATGCAACTATTTTGATTTTCAAACAGTTTATTTGGCATTTTTTTGTTTGGTAGTATTCGTCAATAATTGATAAAAATTTGATAAAATACTTTGATCCGTTGAAGCTGTTTCTTGTGTCTAATTCAACGTCTGGCATTTGATTTTGTAATAAAAGTAAAATCGGTGAAGAAATGAAGTGATGGATCATGAGCTAAAGTTAAAAATGAAAAGTAAGTTTACAAATTAAAACCCTTTTCAGACAGAAAATACCACAATTATACCGTAGTCACGCCGGCGCTATTGCCGGTGTAGACCCTTTCACACAATTAGTAAAAATCTGGTATTAATACCGTATCCTGTCTGAAAGGGGTCCCGCGCGAAAGGAGTATTTTGCGTTTGTGAACAAAGAGGGCGCAATTTTTTATTGGCAACCCTGATCTAAAAACAACTCTTCGCGTGTTTAACAAAAATGTTTCGCACTTTGACCTCTAAAATTGTTATGCTTCAGTGCATAAGACGGCAATGAACCGCTATGGTATTAATGCGGTATTTTGACTAGGTCCCGAGAAGGTCTGCTGTAACCTAAACTGGCGTTTAGGCGTATTTACCCTTTTACATAGAATGCTGGCGTTCGCGAAAAGCGGTATTAATACCGTATTGCAGCTCTGTGTAATAAGGGCTTATGATGCCATGCTAGATAAGACCTTCCTACTAGTTATCAAGTGAATTGCTAACATAGAAAGCTGCTAGATAAGACCAGTCCTAGAAAGTTCACAAACAAGTCACAACATTCTGTATATACCTACTGTATATAGTTATTCGAGTAAATTGCCAACACAGAAAGCATGGATGAGTTTAAAAATAGCCTAACAAATTGGACACGTGATCCCGCTGGGAGCCTATTTTTGTATATAATTTATCTGCTTAAAACTGAGATCCTGATATGCATATAAAGTGTACTGTAGCACATGCAATCGACAACTGACAATTTCAATGTCACTGATAAAAGGCCCCACAGTACAGATGTATTATAGTGTTCTATAATTATTAAATTAAACATTGTAAGAGTTCCACACCATGTGTCCCGGTGTAACAATGTTCATTACACTAGTGTAGAACATTGCCAGAATACGCTGGCACAGCAGTTGCATTTCGGTGGGGTCTTACCCTTGTGGTTCGAACCTTCAATTTCGATTGTGTCCTTGGACAAGGCACTTTTTACCTATGTTTATCTTTCTCCACCTAGGAGGAGTATGGGTACCTACTAGGTTGATGTGGCCTTGAGTGTGTTAGTCTGTGTTGGCATTAAGTTGCAAGTACGATAGTTTGAATTACTCCCCAGCGAGTGGAAGAGGTTACACTTTATGTTGGTTTGATTTATGTATCCGATGTCCAGGGGTAATAATAACATCACCAGCACCTTGCATGTCTAGGCAAAGGCATGGTATAAATCTATATTATTACTGATTCATATATGTGGCAAAGACAAGCCAAACCAGTCACTCGTCGCAAAAATCGATTTTGAGTTATTAATACAGGGTTAAAGAGTAAAATAAAAGCTATAAAATGGTAAAAAAATCATTCAAATCTGACATTTCCTTATGAAGTTACAAGCATTTAAGCATACAGCTGTTTAAAGAACAATATATGAGAAATCAGCCTTCAAAGTTTATGATTTCAGGCATTTCTCATGCAGAAACTATCATAAAATCTTTAAAAAGTGTTGTTTTAACATTAAAATTGGGAAAAATAACACTGAACAGCACAGCATGATGTATAGATACATAAACCTCAGTTTAGTGAAATAAAATAGATTTTTAAAAATTTACATTCTAGCATGTTTTTGCTATTTTCTCTGAAACACAATTTGCGACGAGTGGCTTGTCTTTGCCACATATGAATTGTATATTAACTTGTTTCACTGCATCTATGCATTTTTGAATTTTTATTTGTATGAAATTGTTTGTTTTATTTTGGCCTATGTAGGTCAAATTTGAAAAAAAAGGAGGTTAGTTGATTGAGTAGAGAGGAATATATTTGTGTATGTGTACACAAATGTATTTTTATATTATTGTATTGTTTTATTGTTTTTATTTTTTAAATTTTAAGTTCACTACTCAATTTCTCAGTTCCATTTTAGTTATTTTTAAGTTTGTGTCAATTATGTTTTATTAGTATTA